ACCTTACTTCTTGTTGTGTATATATATATATATATATATATATATATATATATGAATGAATGAACACAAGTTTTTCTCTCTGCGTCTGTGTGTTTAACGTACTATCAAAGTGATCAATCATCTTCTTCTATTACTCGACTTTGTTGTTGCCGATAACCACCTTGTGGTAGGTGCTCCAATCTTGGATCTTGATAATTTGTGTTTGGCTTTATTGAACATCTTTGGCTCTTGTAAAGATAACTGTTGAATACCAAATCCCATTTCTTTTGCTCTAGTCTCCGCTTAAGCCATAATTCTCACTCCTGATTAACACGGTTTGTTTTATTTCCTTAAATCTAATTCGTGTTTTTTTAATCTCCGTTCTGTTTTTCCTATAACCCTAACTTTTGTTATTGTTTTAAGCCATTAGTCTCCTTCTGTCTCTAAAGAAAAAAAAAAAAAGAAGGGAAAAATACAAAAAAACCCCAAGACTACACTTTTTATGCAACTTACCCCAACCTAATTTTTTCTCTCACTTTTTTCTCCAAGTACACTTTCTATACAACTACCCGCCACCAAAAATAAAAATAAAAATAAACGCCTAAACTACCCTCCCTTACTTTTACCTTACTCACGCCTCTCTCTCCTCTATCCCACCAAGATAGAGGCTCCAACACTGTGCAAATGTGGTCTGGTAGTAGGGCTCCGACACTAAGTAACCCTCCCTTACTTTTACCTTACTCACGCCTCTCTCTCTTCTATCCCACCAAGATAGAGGCTCCAACACTGTGCAAATGTGGTCTGGCAGTAGGGCTCCGACACTAAGTAAAGTGTGGTCCGAAGTAGGGCTCCGGTACTATGGTTCGGAAGTAGGGCTCCAGCACTTTGTAAAGTGCAGTTGGGCAGTTGCAAAGGGCGGTCCGACAGTTGTAAAGGGCGGTCTGGCAGTAGATTTTACTCGATTCTAGGGCTCTGACATTGTGTAAAGGTGGTCCGACAACACAGTTTCAGTCCGGTAGTTGTCTTAGGGCAGTCTGGCAATGTGATGATGCGCCTGGTAATATGCTACTGAAGTCCAAAAATCAAAGTCAAATCTGGCCAAAATGATTTTTGTGTACGGGAAGGACATTTCTGTCTAAAAAAATAAACATTTTCCCTTGGGGCTATTTAAATATAAAGTTTGTTTAGGAAAAAAAAAGTGAGAGAAAAAGTTAGGTTGGTGGTAAGTTGCATAGAAAATGTGGTCTTGGGTTTTTTTTTTTTTTTGTAATTTTCTACAAAAAAAAAAAAACAAAAGTAGTTCACTTTCCTTTGTTTTTTCCTCCCTTACAACAAATTTGCCTTTTTCTTCCTTACAATACCAAAGAAACCGAATAATGGAATATAAATAATGCAAAAATTGTCTCATGGATCTTATGTTGATATGAACTTTGGAAGGCCAATGAGAGGAATTTCCACTATAAACGAAATGTGGGAATATTTGGAAAAATTTACCAGTAATTAAATCTTGCAACCCGATTCCAAATTGAATATTGATATATTTGCCTATATACATGGGGAGAAGAATATTTAAGAATATTATGTTGGGTTTATGAACTTATGGACAAAATATGTAATGGTAAGTATGAAGGCTCTTACCAATATTTGTTGCATTAAAAGTTTAAAGGAGATAAATGACAAAGTAAGGTGATGCAGTTCCTGATGAAATTGTAGTTAGAATATGAGATCATTCGAGTCAGTATCTTGAATCGTGAAATGTTATCCACATGGATACTATTAATGGCGAGTTACTTCTTGAGAATATGAGAATTACAACACAGGCCACCATTGAAAGAAAGAAATACATAAAGTCTGTCTTTGTAGCTCAACATAGCAGAGGAAAACCAACAAAAAGAGACCCATCTTCCCTGCAATATTATGAATGTAAAGAATATGGCTATGTAGTATCTCAATGTAAAAAGAAAATGTTTTATAATTATTGCAAGAAATTTTTTTCTAAGAGCATTTTAATATTTTAAAAATCATAAAATTTTAAATTTTAGATTTTGAAAATCCAAAACTACTTGTGACCTTGTTTCTGGAGAAAAGTTGCAAACAAATGGGGCAAATGACTTTTCCTTGGACTTTAAAATTCCTAACAGAGCAATTTTGGGAAAAAACAAAAAGAGTGAATTTTAAAATAAAAAAGGCACCTTTATAATAACAATAATTATCAGGGACATTTGTAATTTACACTAAAAATATATTGCTTCATTTGAAAGCTGGCCATAAAATATGGTCTTGTATTGGATGTGTGCCATACATTTTTTAATGTCATGGAAGTGCAATTCATTTGATCATGTGACGAAACGGTTGAATTCATCATATCTTACTGTGAAACAGTAATATCATGATGGGGTGGTGTATAAAACTAATAAACTTGACTTTTATCTCCCTTATCTCCAAAAAGGACATTATCTAGTCCTTGCAAGATATCATATATATCAATTTGCTTTAGACAACCTACAAGATTTTTATTGAGTCGTTGGCAAATAAACTTAAAAAGGTACTCAATGAGGTGGTGGAGGGTCTTCAAACAACCTTCATTAAAGATCGACAAACAATGGATGGTGTATTGATAGCGTAAGAGGTAATCTAAAAATCAACTTAATTTTCAAGTTATCAAACGGTGGACTAGATGAGACCAACCGATTCAAGTTGGAAACCATTGGTGTCGAAGTGGTTAGGTCTGGCATTCCTAGACCAGAAGATAACGTTGGATTGGTCAGTCATTGCACCAAATCGGCCGATCCAATACTTCTTTATAATTTAGTGTTTAACTGCTATACCCTTTCATTGGTTGAAAGTATCGAGCTCCTTCATTTCGTCCATTTTAAATATGGGTTATATTAGGAAGCTCAGGCTATAAAATATTTTGTAATTGTTTACAACAAATTTTAGACATTTACATGAAGTAATTTTTAGTAAGCATATTTTTTTGGTCATTAAGAAATATCATCGACATGGGTCACCTACATAGAGCACTATGATATTTAATTTTTCATTTGGGTAATGTCATATTTCAGATAAATAATGTTATATTTTTTTAATAATAAAAATATTTTTATTAAAAATATATTATATTATAAACCAATATGTTTAAAATTTGTGGAGTAGAATTATAAAATGACATGCAGCGTAATGGCATAACGCTTTAAATGGTAGGCGGCATTTTTGGCATGGACCCTTTAAAAGGAGGAAATCTGAGAGAGAGACTCCACTCATTTGGGGAATTTTTTCGCTCTCTTGGAACTCCACCGTTCGTAGGGTTTCTTTCCGACGATTTTTGGCAGCAATTCCGGCTACTAATCTGCCCTTGTTTGAAACTCAAGTAAGTATATTCAACCGTTACTCGGCTTGTTTGATTTATTGTTGGAAAATATAAAAATTCGGATTTTTTTGTTTTTTTTTGCCAAAAAATATTGTAATGAGTCTTGAATCTCTAGATTGGCGATCGTTCGCTCTCAATCCAATATCCATTAATTGGAGGTGATTTTTTTCATGCATTTTTTCATCTTGTAATGAGTCTCGAATCTTTTTGAGATTTAATGCTATTCCTTAAGATTGGTGACGCTGTCTTTTTTTTGCCGGGGGGAGGGGGTAGTGGTTTCTCCAAATTTAGTGTATTTTCCCTATTTGGTTTCTCCAAATTTAGTTCTATTTTCCCTATTTACTGTTATTTGTGGTTTGAGATTAAATGTGGCCGGATGGTCCAAATTTAGTGTTATTTGGATTTACTATTTAGTGATATTTCTGAATTTATGTACTGGTTTATTTCATTCTCCTACATTCTGGAATTTGGAGGCGCCTTACTAAACAATCAAATTAGAGCCTACCTCAAAACTTTAATTAGAAGAGATTGTTTTGATACCCAAATATCATCAAATTGATCATCTCAACATCAAGATGCATGGACATGAGAAAAAAATGAATTTCAAGTTTTGGAAATGGTGTATCTTGTAATGCATTTTTTGACCGTCATTTTTTAAGATTTTCGAGTTTTCATAGATTTGATTGATCTACACTATTTTTGAAGCTTTAAATTTTATAACTAAAGATAGAAAATATAATTTAAGGCTATCACAAAACTTTCCAGCATTGAAACTATATTTCTCGATACTATTTAAAGGTGGGCTCAAATTTGATTGTTTAGAGCCTCGGCTCTATACAAACTG